GATTGTAGAGTCATTTAGGCCCAATCCCAATACCCCTAGCCCTTGTCCACTACCTCTTGGCCCTCGAAATGAAGCAACGAGGGGTAGGGGTTGAAATCTTTCCCTAGGAATTGGGACACCACTCACTACGTCACCGTGTCGGTTACATTCACGCATACATGCGAGCCGTCTACATTTCCAACCGGCATCTAAAATGGAGTCTCCGGTTGAGTTCATCCTACCGATCGTGTTTGCTGTATTCATCATGCTTCGTTTGATGAACGACAGACGACGAAATGATATGTACGACAGGGGACTTCTGCTAGCTAGCTAGCTAACCAGCTAACATTACGAGGCAGCATAGTTATACTAGCTGGCGTGTTATCGTAATGTGAAAAGTCCGACAATTTTGCAGAACAGAACAGGTGACAGACGCCAGATAGTGCGAGCTAGCTAGCTAGCTAACAAGCAACTTGAGGACGGTAACGTTAGCTAGCTGGCTAGCTTTCTGTCAACTCCAATCTAGACATCGTGAATAGCAATAAAAAATGGTTATACCGTTCTCTACACAAATACGGTTATTCGAAAACGTTTTTACAAAAGTTCCATGTTTATTTGCGAAATTATACGTACATGTATGAACCTTTTTCCCCGTCTCTTGCTCGGTGGTAGCCATGGCGACATCTACCCCTCTCTGGCAAGTCAGCATCTGAAATGCCTCGCTCTGAAGGGCTAGTTTCATACCCACTACCCCTCGTTATGCCCCATACCCCTACACGCAAAAAGAAATTGGGACACCACTACCTCTCACGGAAACGTGCATATCTAGGGGTAGGGCTAAGGGGGGTATTGGGACGGGCCCTTAATCGTATCATGACTTGGCCGAGAGACATGACAGACTACACGTTGGTACTTGTTCATGACCTGTGTGATGTCATCGTTATTATTGTCCTGTATTTATTATTATTATTCCCATTATTTCAGCCACTGTGTCTGTTAACGTGCAAGCCGAAATGTTGTAGTTACGCAAAACTGCCACCAGGTGGCAGGAGCTACATTTGAAGTACCACATGCTAACATGCAAGTCACTGAATCCTCCACAACAAGTTCCTGTAAAAGTTTCACAATAAAAGCCTGTTTAGAAAATGAAGGGATTCTCTCAGTCGAGGTTATAAGGAGCTGTTATGAAGAGGTAACATTGTTTGCTAGCTTGATGCTAATGGCAGTACTCAGCGGTTTGATAAAGTGCCTCTGCTGTTTCCTTTTTAGTCTGTGTGGTAACGTCCCTACAGGAAATATCAAACACCCTGGGCTGTTGTTGTCGTACAGTCTGGCAGCAGATCGCTCTGTGTTCCTATTGGTCAAAGTGACGGCTGTGACGGGAACAGGCGTGAACGACAAAAAGAAAATCAAACATGCTAGGCTTTATGTCGGGACATAGTGAGGTGTCCCAGACGTGGAGTCGGTTGTCGTCTTCTATGACACACTACACAACATGAAACGATGGATTATCACGTACGACAGTCGTTGTCGTCGATGATCCGAGCCGACACCGTACGTCGCTGCATTGGGCTGTAATCAGGCTGATATCGTGTAGTGTGTACCCGGCATTGTTGTCACAACCCCTGCGAAATGACTCATCTCACTATCAGGATTTAATCGCTATCGGTCCAGAATTTTATAATCCGTGCATGGCATTATGCCCATTTGTTCTCTTGGTTATAAGCTACAATAGTTTTCCCCAAAATATGCTAATTTTAAGCCTCTGGTACGACTGTTTAACATTTCCCATCTCTCTCTCTTCAGGTCTATCCATCTTGGAGCTGTGCCTGATCATCGCCATGAAACACCTCAACGACGTCTACGAAGGAGAGCCGTTCAATCTGCAAATGGTTCACAACGGTACGACACAGAGAGGAGAAGACTGGAGAATAAAAAACACACCTGATATGTCTCGAGACGGTGACATGAGAAATCTGACTTTTAGTTTTAGTGCTCGAGCAAATACGCAGCTTCAATAAAAGCAGAAGTGAGTTTTATAGGTGCAATTTCCAAAAAGCAAAGAGCTTATGAAATGAATCAGCAGGGAAATAAGAGTTTATCACCAAAACTAAAACTAAAAGTCTCGTGAGTCAAAATATTCAAATGTCAGCCTTTATCTTACTTGTGTGTGATTGTTTGTCTGACATTTCCCTGGTTTTTTAGAGTTTAAGAAGTTCCTGCAGAGGAAGTCAAACTCCATGTACAACTTTGAGCAGCCTGTCATCATGAAGGTCTGTAGAAAACATTCTCACGACACTTAATATGCTGTTTAACTCTATATTTTCACACAAAGCTTACCAACTTTTGAGACTTTGATTTGCCCGTTCTCAGGCCTTCGAGCACCTGCAGCAGCTGGAGCTGATCCGGCCCGTCGACAGCTCGTCGGCCAAAACTCAGAGGGAGTACCAGCTGATGAGACTCATGCTGGACAACAGTCAGATCATGGAGGCCCTGCAGAAGTACCCACAGTGCCCCACAGACGTCACGCAGTGGGCCATGTCGGCGTTTGGCTAGGACTTGTGCAAGAAAATCAGCTGCACTGCTGGAGAAAGTTTGTCTCACATAAAGATACTGAACTGGACAACAGATCGAGCGTTTGTGAGCTGAACCGGGGAGAAAACATGGCTGCCAGCAGTGCCTGCTTCATGTCAGAGTTTATTTTCATGTGCTCAGAATATCAAATTTGTTCCAGAGCTGAGTTTTGACATCGTTTGTAAATGATCAGTTTCCAGGAAATAAAAGAAATGGTAGGTTTTGTATCTCTGTGGTCACATTTTTCATGTAAAATTATGCATTCACTAAAATAAATGACTTCTTTAATAAGATTGTGAGTAAAACAAGGCGTCTGTCAAAAAATTCTTCTTGAATTTCACCTTGAAAAACACTGAGAAGTTTGGAAACAGGTGACATGCTGGTGATCTGCTGAATGCTGCCATCTAGTGGTGCTTACTGCAGCCAACAGGAAGTAGAAACACCCTCATTACATGAAATAATGCACTTTTAATTTCAGCTATAAACTTGTAATTGCGCATTTGTGTGATTGTGACACCTGATAATAATGATAATAATTTTCCACTGCAGTGGAAGCTGATGAAGAAGCAGGTTAAGTCTTCTCCTGCCTTGTAAACCATTTACAAATGTGAAGTTCAAACAAACTTTTAAGAGACTCATAATGCATAAACAGAGGTCATTGTTTTGCAAGTCCCAAGTCCTAAATTTTGAGTTTCAAGCAGCCCAAGTGTCAGAAGAAAATGTGCATTGTACATTTCTGCAAACCTCAAATGTTACAAATGACATTTCATGTGCATCATATAGTAAAGCAGCTGCCCGTTTAAGCCAGTAGGAGGTGCTGTTGTCTATTTCACAGCAAATGTGGCAGTTCACACTGTTTGTCCCTGGCAGGACACTGTAGTTTTGAGAGCTGCTCTATATAGGATGCCTGAAACCATTTCCCACAGTGGAAACAAAGCTTTTATTTACTTTTATTTCAGAGATAAGAAACAATAAATTGTGAAGACAAAGCCTCCCTAGCTGCTAGGCTAATTTATTCAGTGTAAAATGCCATAAGCTTGTGCTAATAACGTTAGCATGTTATATTTGTTTGGAAAACGTGTTTAGTATAAGACAGTTGTTTTGTCAGTGAACCTTGTGAGCTGTAATGGAGCTAAATTTATAACGTTACCATTGTTAAATGTTGCTGTTGTCCCTGGTTTTATATGAGAAGCGGAAAAGATCGCTAGCTGCTAGGCTAATTTATACAATATAAAATGCCATAGGCTTGTGATAACAACATTAGCATATATTTGTGGGGGAAATGTGTGATTCAAAACACACATTAAACACACATTAAACACACATTAAACATGGCTTAATAGAGACAATTTAAAACACAAGTACACAAATCAGCTTCACTATAACTCGCAGCATTCACAGACAAACACTTGTCTTTATCTGGACACATTTTCCCCACAAATACAACATGCTAACGTTATTAGCACAAGCCTATGGCATTTTACATTGTATAAATTAGCCTAGCAGCTAGCGGACTTTTCCTCTTCTCATATAAAACCAGGGACAACAGCAACATCTAACAAAGGTAACAGTACATAATTTCACTCACAAGGTTCACAGACAAAACAACTGTCTTATACTAAACACGTTTTCCAAACAAATAAAACATGCTATCGTTATTAGCACAAGCCTATGGCATTTTACATTGTATAAATTAGCCTACTGGCTAGTGCAGCACAGCACAGCACTTTGGAGCCGAGTTAACACGCTTCACTCACACATTTTACACAAATATAATTGAATCAGAGTCTTAACAAGTCCCTGATAGCAAGTTGTGTCTGGCGTCCTCCATTTTCTTTAGTTGAGTTTATTTTACCGCCTCCTGCCTTTAGTGTAACTATTGGCCTGTGTTGCGTTCAGGTGTTGTCACGTAAATAACAGGTTCCAGCACTTCAATAGGCCATGGCACAACACATGTCAAGTGGATATATTAATATCTGTATTATTTATTGGTCAAATGAGTTGGGACATAAATGTTAATTATAAAATGTCTTTTTTAATTGATATTTGTATAACTTGTCACAGATACTGAAAAACAGAAAACATTTTTAATTTTTATTGACATCTATCAATCTGTAATACTTCATACGTTTGTGTTTTGCTGTTTTAAATGAGTTTAAGCTCCAGGTTCACATTCTCATTTACAAATAAAGAATATTTTGTTGGAAATTTTGTCATCCTGACTAATCCTATCTGCGGAAAGGTTACGAAGAACACTCAGAGCAGTGTGGATTTTAGTATGGAATAAGCTACCCATAATAATAAAGTGGCCAGTGAGTGTATTTACTTCCAAGGAAATGATGAGCCCATCATATAAAAGGCTTCTAACTTCCACCTGTAGGTGTAAGATCAACCCGATTGAAGGACAAGTGTGATTCTGTCAATGGAAAGAAAGAAAAACAAACATCCACAATCTAAAAACACATTTATTTACATCACGTGGATCACTTCAGCTGATAAAAACCACGGCCGAGTCACAACGCTGATCAGGGATCAGTTTAGTCTCCTCTGTGATGATGTATCCAAGGTTTCTGGAGGGTTTCTCTGCTATAATACTTTCCTCTAATTCACTGAGAGATCAGAGGTCGGCGTGAAAACCCCTGCAGCTGGTAAAAACTCACTCTAGCGGGATGCTTCCAGTTTCAAATTCCAGTCTTCCGTTTCCTGTCCTACTTTCACATCTTTTAGTCAGTAACACAAAATGTACAGTCACATGTATCAGGAGTAAAGAAACAACAATTTTATTTTACACAACCCACTGAAGCTTCGTGACCAAATTAAAAATGATCAGTTTCTTCCAGCCTTAAAAAAAACAAAAAACAGAAACCATGTGAGCATCATCGTCGTCAGAGGCCGCGTTGGCAGATCCTGGATCAGCGCTGCAACTCGAGAGCCTTGAGAAATGTGGGGTCAAAAACGCTTGTAGTGTTTTTGGATTTTCTGTAGAAATTTCAGGGCCTGGCCACCAGACGGGACAGTCTTGGCGGCGAGGTCATTGGAGTTCAATGTTTCCTCTAAAATTCTTATCAACAGTGGGAAAAGGAGGAGATTGAGATGCTGGAATGAAATACCTGTAGTGGGTGATTGCATTTTCACATGTGGAGTATTGCAACTGATCTTCAAGAGCTTTAGGGAGTCTTCAAATTTCAACTGTGAGGGGACCCGAGTGGGCGCCCTGTGGGACGCCCTAGTAGTTTTGTTCTGCCAAGGAACCCTTAAGTGCTTTCTTGGATGCCTTACAAAGTACTCCAATGAGCCTCTAGCTTTTAGCTTACACAAAGCTCAACTTAAAGTCATTTTCCGCATCGTGAAGGAGGAGTTTTTAAGCAGCCGGGTCGAGCCTGGCTGCAGTCAAAACACAAGAAAAGTATAAATGAATGTAGAGGAAACACTGAAGTTCAACACGCACTTATAAAGATTCAGCTCAGAGTATATAGTTGATACAGGTATTTATGTTCTCATGTCTGTACAGATCCTAGACTGCTTAAAATAGTGGGGGCAACAAGACACAAATGTTTCACTGGTAGTTTATATGCACAGCAATGTGAGGTGCTGGGCTAGAGGAAGTCGAGGTAGAAAAACGTAAAGCCTGCACGCTGAGGAAACCCATTCATGCGCCTTTAAAACAACAATGTCAGGACCATGTTTAGATTGAGCTGAGTCCGAATAGTTTTACTAAGATAGTGGGGAAGCAACAAGGTTTGATTGGAATGACAAAATGGTTGCCAAGATTGTCTCCAATCGCCTAAGGCAAGCGTTTTAGACGAAGACCAACAGAGCATGGACTCACTTGGAGCTTACGTTGGCCAGAAGCAAAAGTTGTCCCTTATTTTGGTACAGTAGGACTGTGAAGTTCAAATCCTACCTGGGAGCTTTACAATTAAAGGAATAGTTTGGATCTTTTGAAGTGGGGTTGTACGAGGTATTTATCCATCGTCAGTGTATTACATACCGCAAAAACGTGTCGGCACACCCCTAGTTTGGAGAAACAGCAGTTTCAGACACAGAAGCTAAGCAATGTACTAAAAGCTGTTGCATCACCAGACTCCATTGACAAAAACAGTGATTTAACATGGGACATGATGTAACAGCTTTGGCTCCCCTGTGGAAATCGCTGTCTGACAGAACGGTTAAGAGGTGAAAATATCGCATACACTTAATCTGATATTGATTTTTTAGGTGTCTAAAATACATTTTACTGCTGCTTTGAGTGGCCGTCATGTAGCACCCGCCCACGGCGTAATTCACCATCGTTCCCAGACTCTGGATCTAGAGTCAACTTGGAGGGTAGGGTGTTTTACCTTAACTCCAGACCCTACGTTCGGAGGATATATAACGGACCAGATGTCTTAGTTAGTTGGACCCAAGAGCACTGGCGTGCAAGTGGGTGTGTCAAGCTTGTGGTAACGGTCCCGACTGTCCTTGGGTCTAGAAGGGAAGACCCAAGGACAGTCATTCCCAATGACATTGCTTCAGCAAGACCCACTACCTGCATCAGGGTAGTATCCTCACGGTGCCTGGGGTATTCACCTGAGGGGTGGGCCGAATGTTAGGAACTCTACAGGATGCAGTTAAGTGCGTTTATTGAGTCTTGTGCAAAGGTCGTGTTGGCTTTTGGCGCGGAGAAGCACAAGATAAGATGGCGTGAGTAACTATGACTCTCTAAAAGTAGCGTACACTTAAACTGATATTGATTTTTAGGTGGCTAAAATATGTCTTACCGTGTCGGTACTGCCTGCTTCTACAAACTGGGGCGTGCCGACTGACATCTACTGTAGGTAATACACTGACGATGAGTAAGTACCTCACAGAACCTCACTTAAAAAAATCCAAACTATACCACAACAAAATAAAGCACAAAATTTGCCTGTACTGTTCTGTCTCTCTGGTTGGACCATAAGATTAACCTGCTAGTTGATTGCCCTTAGAGCAGGTACTGGTTCACGTCTTCAGCAGGCTGAACCGAAAGGCGCATGAATGGATCTCAGAGTGCATCGGCTTTACTAGTTTCTACGGCGACAGGGCACAATCACACGAAACCAGCCAAACCCAGAGCCCCCTAAAGTTACACAGGGCCGGGCTCAATCCACCAAAGTACACACAATACTGGAATCCAGGAGTCTGAAGAACATTCATTCTCGGTCGTTTTTGTCCATAGACTGAATAGAAAGAAGCACGTTACAGTTTATATCTTTTCTTTTTGAATTAATGAAAGTATTTCCTGAATTACAACTGAACACCCACCCCCCAACCCCCCCTAACAACAACAACAACAACCATAAATCGTGCCAACTCTTACAACTTTATTCCGAGTTGCACCTGAGCTCCGATCCCCAAAACCTCAGGCCTGTAAATTAAAAAATAAATACAACATATCAATATGCAAGGTCACGGATTAAAAAAAGAAAAAAAAAAAAAAATTAAAATGCTACAAGTTATTTGTGTGTGTGTATATTGAAAGTCACTCCTGCAGCTGATCCTACAGAGGTGTAGGGTAATTTGCGGCACTGGTTGCATATAACTTGCTAGAACTTAGAAAAGCATAGTACTGAATCCCTGAATGGTATTTGTCGGTTTGGGTCGGTTTCTCAGGCGCACGTTTAAACTCAAGCTGTTTAACACTGAAGATGTTCCACCGTCTACCTACAGTACTGGGAGGTGACCGCCAACCAAACGCTGACACTGTTTTTTTTTTGCTGTGGCTGACAAGTTCGTCGACTCTATCAACCAATTTGGCAACCAACATTTGGAGGCTGTTTTTAAGATGTACTTGGCTGCAGAAATACTGATGAGTTTTACAATTTTGGACACAAACTCGGGGACACAAGTGGTAATACTGGTGTTTTTCCTTTGCGTTATCGCTGGTTATCAAATTGTCTTCCAGATCGAGGCGCACTCCACTGCCTTTTTTGTTGAAGCCTGCCCCGATCAGACAGAGACTGATTTTGACTAACTTTGGAGCGCAAGATCAGGGTTCGACTCCCGGTCAGGGCGGGGCAACACATATCCAGTGTGGACCCTTAGACGAGGTTCTTAATGCTGCTAGCCTACCTCAGAATGACTGAAAACGCAAATGCAAGAGTCATATCGGCCTTGGATGTCGCCCAGGTCAGCAAGGTCTGTGTCAGGTGTTGAGGAACCGGGGTTTTTAATTGTCTGCTGCCGTGGTTCAGGCTTGGAAACTGCAGATTCACATAGGGTCAGATCTGATCTTTTGGGACGAATCAAAGCTTCATCATGGGATCCTCAGACAGAGGAGAAATCATTGGAAGTCCAACCAGCAAGTCCAGGAGCTTCCTGGATCATGGCTGGTTTGAGGCTTATTTTAGGATGAGTCGGGACAGTCTGGCTATTGGCTGTGAATCGTCGGGCCTAATTACAGTTGGTACAACGTTAGAAAGTAGTCGAGGCTACAGTTTGTTCAGTTATATCTTGGATTTTGCCTGGCAGGGCGCAATGAACATGAGTTGATAGCTTAGCACAAACCATGTACTTTACCACCTCTTAATTCATCTGATCGGTCAATGGTAAAAAACGGCAGTGACGTCCGGCGCTTTTCCGTTCTGAGTAAAATTCTTTTTTCAACTCGAGGCGTCCTCCAAAAGTAGTGCAAAAGCAGTAAGCAAAACGCTGCCAAAACATGCTCTGTCTGATCAGGGCCTAACAGAAAATCTTCACAAAAGATAAAGCATCATGGTAAAAATTATGACACCTCTTTTTAGCCTTATTTTCCATCTTGTCAGTCTCGAACTTGACAGGAAATACGGGAGTTTACTCCAAGAAATAATCCCCCCCAAACCAGAACTTTTTGAAGGAATTTTTTACATTTTAAAATTAAAAAAAGAACCTTGTGATGATTTTGGTTTATTTGCCACACTTTCTACCCCGAAGAGATCCCTGCGAGTGAGGTAGTGCTTATTGAAGGGCTGCTGGAGTTTGCAGTACTGATCGTCCCTGACTGTTTACGCTTCACGAGGACCTTCGACGATGGCTGTTCTGAATCGGAAACAAAAAACAGCAGCAGCAAAAGGAAGCAATATTGATGCAAATATTGAACTCGTGCTACAAATAACAAGATGGCTTTGACTTCCTTCAGGTTTGCTGTGTTGTTGCAGTAGTCTCGTCTCGTCTTTCAGAGGTCGAGCAGGAAGCAAACAAGGAACTTTTGTTTGAGCTCTTATAGTTCCTGTGATATTTGGTGGTAAACTGCCTTTTGTTCGTCACATCAGCTGTTAGTTTTCGTCTAGTTTGGCCCTGTAAAGTCTGAAAAATACTGTTGTTACAAAACTGGAACTAATACAGCATGTATGGCAGAGTAGTTGGGGTACATGTAAGTGCTCAACAAATATTTAGCTCAATTATAGACTTGATGTTTGCTGTGCAGAATGAGGATTTGCTTTGACTCCCCTGTCCAGAATAATCACAAATCAATTTCATGTTCCTTTGCTCTTATTTCATCATGTACTACAGTACAACGTTAGCTTAAAATGCTAACCCTGTTAAAAAGAACTCATAATTATGAATCACCCTGAATGTGAAATGGTTCTGTAGAAAGAAGCTTTCTTCATGTTTTACTCATTTCCAAACGCAGCGCTTGATTTTAAAACGCTTGATTTTAAACTGCCTCCTGTGAAACCGTCCCAAAGCTTGAGGAGAGACTGCAGGTCTGCCGGCACCAGTGTTCAATGTCCCTCAGAAGAAATAAAGACTCAAAAATGTCGCTGTTGCCTTCGCAACAACGACAGATACATCCGTTTTGCCTGACATCTACAAGAGTAACTAATGTGGATACGTAAAAATGGCACCAGGATGAAAGAGAAGAAAGAGAGAGGCCTCGTCTCGACTCGTCTGACTGCAGTTAGCCACGCTGACACTAATTTCAGCTCTGCGTGGGGAAGATAAAACTGCACCTGAGCGGCAGATTATCTTTTTTATTTTACTGATTTTGTGAAAACTGTTGAATCTGAAGAGCAAGTTGCATCTAACTCTGAAGGAGGACATCGACATTTTGATTTAGACGTCAGTATCCGTTCAATCTCCTACATGTGAACGTGATTTTTATTTTATTTAATATACTATTTAAAATAGGTAAAATCTTAGTTCGTTGTGCAGCTGCGTGTAATCTATTGCTTCGCTCAGAGCCTTCTTTTCTCGCTGTCACTCTGTTTATCGTAAGACGGCTGCTGCAGAGCTAACTGTTAGCTTCACAGGGTTAACGGGTTTAACGAGAGAGTCGAGCAGTGTTGGTGTCAGTTTGTTGGGACTGTTAAAAAACTCAGTGTTGGATGTTAGCCACTGCTGTTGAATTAGCTCAGACGTTAAACTGACGACGAGAGCAGCTCTGGAGAGGGTCCGTCAGTGCTGCGTCTCACCTGCGTAACAGCAGCAACAGAAAGTTTGCTGGTTTTTCTCTTATGTTTACTTTGAATTCATGGTTTAATCAGCTCAATGAAGCCTGATCGTTCAATAAATAAGTTTAAATTCCTGTTCTTGCGTTAATATTTTATTTCAGAGTACTCTTTAATAATTTGAGTACTTGAATATCGTAGTTACTTTAAGAGATTAGACCGGAGTTTAAGCCGCAACTAATGATTATTTTCATTATCAATTCATCTGTCATGATTTTGTTGATGAACAGGTAAATCGTTTTGTCACAAGCCCAAAGTGACGTTTTCAAGTGGTGTTTTATCCGACAAACAGTCAAAAAAAACCAAAGCCATTAATTTTATTGTCATATCACAAAGGAAAGCGTTAAATTCTTGCATTTAAGAAGCACAAAACCAGCAAACATTTGGTTTTATTGCTTAAAAAATTTGAAATTACTAAAAAAAGTATTCAGTTATTAACGAAGCTGCCAATTAATTTACTTCTCAATCGACGAATCAATCGATCACATGAGGAAAATAAGTCGTGTGGAGTAATGTTGGGCCGACATTTTAGTTTACAAAAGTGGAAACACTAGTTGGGTTTCCATCCACTACAGTTATGCTAATATTGGGAGTTGGTTCTTTAAGACGAATGATGCTACGTCATCATTTATTATCTATTAGCTGAATCTGTTTCCATTGTATTTAGCTGCATTTACCTGTTAACGTTACAATACACCAACTTTTCCACCTTCCCAAGCAACTGCAATCCAATTCTTGGCTTTTCTGCTCACGTTTTTGTATGTGCAAATTGAAAATGTGCATAAAAACAGGTGCGTGGAAACACCTGCTGCAGCTAACCTGCTCTCAGTCACAGAATTAAATAAACACCTGTAAAGAGACGGGCAAGGTTCAATTAAAAGCTGATTACAGACTGTTTTCGAGCATGAGAGCACGGCTAAACCGTCACAAGTCGAGACGAGGCGAGGAAGAGAGAAAGAGGAAGCGTGAGAATCAGCAAGAGAGAGGAGGTACTCCAGTCTGAGACAGGTGTGGATGAGGAAGAGGAGGATGTGAGGAGGTGGTGAGTAGCAAAGATTCCTGAGGTGTATCAAAAGAGAGCAGAAACTCTTGATAGTAATCCAAAAAAAAAGAGATGTGTGCAATCAAATCAAAAGCAAGCTGGCTCAGCTAAATACAGGTATAAATCCGAATCAGGGCTGGGTACCACCGGGAAAAAACTGCACTTCAAATCTCCTAAAATAAACATGTCAGGTGATCTACTTGTTAATCTGCTTTTTCACAAAAGAGTTTGACGACCTCGCAGCATGTGTGTGAATTGAGTTAGTCGGTACCCAGCGCTAATCCAGAGAGATATAAATACAAATATTCTGTATATCCAGATCTCACGGCCAAAATGAGTCTTGTCAGCGATAGGTATTATTACTCCGTTGACAGTTGACACGGCAAACCAAAAACGGAAACTTTAAAAGACAACTTCATCATGGAGGGGGGGGGGGACGCTTTTTTTTTTCTTCCCATTATCAGAAGAGAAATAAACAACAACAAGGATTATTATTCAGTCGTGAAATCATAAAGACTGAGAAAGGGGAGGAAAAAGGGAGAAACACTTGGTGTGTGTATGGCCATGTGTATCGAGGCTTTGCTGACTACATTACCCATGAGCGTCACGGCTGACAGCAGGTTGTTTGGGTGTCATGGAGAGCCGAGGTTGTGAGCTATGACTGTGATACAGGGAGAGGGACTAATTTAAACTGTGTCCATCTGAACTGAGGTATACCTGGTTGAAGGAGGTTTGTGGTTTTTTTTAAATCGTCGTAATGCTTGAAAATGGACCCCCCCCTCCCCCCTTCCCCCTCACCCCTTTAAAATAAGCTTGATTACCAAGTTGTCTGGGTCCATAATACACTATGTACAGCAGCATTACACTATAAACATTCAGAAGCCGTTGCTTATTGGCAGAACGATAGTCGTTTCTTCAGAAAAAACGCACACGAGAAAACAGCAAATGTAGAGAGCCAGGTGCTCGTCTTTTTTCTTTTTTTTCTGTTTTGTTTTTTACACTAAAATGCACTGTGAGATTTCTCCGCCGGGTCTTCTCTCTCCGTAGAAAAACCGAGCACAACAGGTCGCCCTCCTGTGTGTGTGTGTGTGTGTGTGTGTGTGTGTGTGTATGTATAAAAAAACAATACATGATAAAAGTGTTGAGTGTCGTCGTCGTCCCAGCATGTCAGCACTGTCACTGTCGTTAATCCTGAATCGTTTTGCTCGGGATGAGAGAGTTGTTTTTAAAATGTTAAAATCCTCAGGCACACATATCAAAATGAGGTGGATATCGACCGATGTGGTGAGGTGGGCGCAGGGGGTTTCCTGAACGAGAGTAGCGGCCCGCACTTAAAAGAAAAAAACAAAAAGGAGATAAAAACGGAAAGAAGGAACAACAACAACAGAAAAAAAAAAAACACAACGCCAACCAACCAGGGTCGGCTGCTCATCCCCCTCGTGTTGATCCGTGTTTCTGCTGGCTCATCCGGCGGCGGACGGTCGGCCGGCCGATCATAAGCTGGACTCCTTGGGCGGGAGGTCCACGTTGGTCACCATGGTGACGACGGTGACGATCTCCTCGGGGCCGATGACGGGGGCTTGGCGCTGCATTTGACCGATGCGCTCCTCGACGCAGCCGGCAGACAGGCGAGCCTCGGCCTCGTGGTCCCAGCAGTCCTCGATGGTTTCGCAGAGCATGGCCAGACCCTGAGAGACAGAGCAGAGGGTCAACGTCACCGCCTGACAGAGCGGCACGAGGTCCTATTTTGTTGGTTTGGGCTTAAAGATATTTTCTGGGGATGCAAAATGACTACATGATTTATTCTCCTCAACATCTTCCTCCACGACACTGCCTTAAAAAGATATCAAATACAAATCTGTTTGCACCACCTGATCTTAACTGTTACTGGATTTTACATCGGTTGCACCACCCAACCTGGTCTGAAATACGCTCTGTCTCGGTCTCAGCAGTGCAGGCGTTGCTCAGACATTCGTTCACGAGGTCTTTACAGGGAGCCAAATTAGAGGCCGTACACATGCCGTGTCTTTAAACGCCTGGAAAACGCGAAATCGGGCGCTACCTTTTTCTTTTAGCCAGCTTTCAGGAGAGCGGCAGCAGGTTGCTTCTGAGGTTGCTAAGTAGCCTTAACAAGCACCGCATCATAGCCTGTTTACCTGAAATCCTGTACAGCCTCTTATCCACAAAGGTCTCTACCTCTCCGAAAGAAATGGTGATTTAAACCAGTAAAAACACTGAATACAGCAGTTTTATGTTAAAACTCAGTGTTTCTCTGATGCTGTTGGGCTGGTTTTGGAACGGCTGTTAGCCCAGTTCCCGATAATGTGCGCTCGTTCTTTCCTCCGATAACTCAAGATCCAGATGTTCAGGAGATTTTTACTGAAAGCCGAATTATCCAGAGAGGTTTCTTCCTCTTAAAAACGAATGGACCGGGTGATTGAAGCCAGTAAGAACGCTGAATTCAACACTTGCACTTTAAAAATCGCTGTTTCTCTAATGCTGTTCAGCATGGCAGTGGCTGTAGCTAAGCTGTCGCTAACGTTAGCTCAGCTTGTTTCTCTGATAACTTCAGATCCAGATGTCCAAAGACTAAAATCCATCACACGGCTAAAACATATACTTAAAAAGGAGCAACAACGATGTGGCTTCAAACTGGACAAAAAGTCCATTTATGACACACTATGGCAACAAAATAACACCGGTTGTGTCCTCAGTTCAACTTACAGATTTCTCTGGGTTTGAATATTGTTGGAAGCACTGGCGATAATGTAGGTACGCAATTCGACACGACATACAACGTTAGTCTGGTCGATTTAAGACATTTTAATACAGACGAGTTATATCTTTAAATCTAGGTGCTGCAACTGGTGAAACTGTTAGGTCGGACTTGGAACACCACGTTACAGTCGACTCAGTTGTTGGTGCAACCTGATTATATGACTCAAAATTAAACAGATTATTTAAGTGAATCAAACCAGTGACCGTCCAGCTCGACAGCAACAACTAACGAGTCCTCTCGTTGCTCACCGGATGTTTCTGCCAGCAGTCTCGCAGAACGGGCCGCAGCTTCTTATGAACCACGACCTCCTGCATGTCCTCCAGAGACGGATGCTGACCCACCTCCTCCTCAAACGGGAGCATGTACTCGTCCACTGGGCCTGTTGTGCACAACCACGTGTCCAAAAATTACAAGTAATCTGGAGTTACATACAGTGTGCGTTAATGAGGACGAATTGTTTCTCTGCCTTACCATCAGCGGCAGTGCATCGCGCCGCCAGCTCCCAGAGGACGAGGCCGAACGCGTACATGTCGATACGCAGGAAGGAGTCGCGCTGGAAGTTGATGGCTCCCTCCAGGACCTCAGGAGCCATGTAGCGCCGCGTCCCCACCTACAAAGGAAGCAGTGTAAACGGTCAAAGGTCAGCAGCGGGACATGAGCAGAAAATCAAGCACAGGCAGCGAGGAGGAGGAGGAAACTCATGACACAATTCACAGATGGGCTGACACGGCGAAAAGGGATGCGTGTCATCGAGGGGTGTGTTACTGCTTAGTCGGCAGATACATCAAGCTGTGTGTCATGTAAGCTGATCCCTGTGTGACACGGAGCTGGTGAACTGGGAGGTTAAAAGTGTTTGAACCACATTATCCTGATGTTTCTCTCCTACACATCGTCACCTACAGATGTTTGCAGCTACTTAGACATATTTTACACACCTTTGAGGCCAGTGTGAGAACAGAACAAGTCCAGATTGCTGATTTGTGGCCCACGCTGCCACCCTAAGGCGCTGTCAGGTACTTCCACAAGTCAATATTTATAATGGTGACTCAGTAATATTCCCTACAGCACACAGGAGCGTGTGGATGCCAGTTAAACCAACCTACAAAGGCAGGAAACATAACTTTATCTGTAAACCGTACCTGTCCGTGTGTGTCCCCCGCAGATTTCCCCGCCTCAAACTTCAGGGCAAGGCCGAAGTCAGCTATGCAGGCTGTCAGATTATTCTTCAGCAGCACGTTCTTACTCTTAATGTCCCTGAGAGACAGAAACAAACAAGGGAAACACCTTCAGTCTAACACATCTCTGACGGTACAACGCCAGGAGGTGTTACAATGATCCCAAGCTATCGCAACCTGTGAGCGATGGAGGGCTTGTGTCCGTCCTTGTGTCCCGGGATGTCTTCATGGAGGTACGCGAGGCCGCGGGCTGCCGTCTGACTGATGTGGCAGAGCTCGTTCCACGACACCACGTTGGCCTTCAGGTAGTCTGTCATCGAGCCCTGGGGAATGATGGGAAAAGATGTGTGAATAAGTTTCTCTTTTTTTATTCCTTCATGTTTTTTTTTTAAATAATTTTCTTTCTTGAAATTTTTAGGGCACACATGAATCATCCGTTCAGCGTCAAAGTTTTAAAGCCTATTTCTAAATAGCCTTCTTAAAGCCTATGACTCAATGCATGGAGTGACTGAAAGAGAATTAAAGTGACTATAAAAATTAAATAAAAAAGACGTAATAAAATAAATAGATGAATAATAGTAACACCAGCAATACTAATGACAATAATTAATATAGAAAAG